AAGAATAATTAATTGCGGTTTGATAGGGTATATTTGATTTTCATAATCACGACATCCACTCACGAAATCTTACCACTACTCTCGGTACGTCATTCAGGGTATGTTGCTTTTGCTAACACTTTATTGAGTCGGAATGTTACAAGCAGTAGCTATTCTATTTAATTCATTCCTTTTGTCCAAGATCGAAAGAAATTCAGCCAAATCATTGGTTCAAAATCAGTTCGATTTTTTTCTTGCCTGGGGTACAGTTCTTCGTTCCTACAAAGAATAACTTTCAACAAGTGTGGGTGTATCATGTTGGATCAGATGGCAAAAATTTCGCTCGCGGAATTAGCGCTCGTTAGATATACAGGCTCACACTCTGCAAGCGCAGTGCAGGCCTACTGTATTGCAAACATAATACTTCAGATATTCGAGCGCGGTGGCCCGATGTAGTACGGGATGACCTTAGGCAACGATTACAGGTAATGCCAAAGACATTTCTCTTGCCGCCCGAAAATTGCTTGCATCCAACGGGATTTCTGAAAAGTGTTTCCCTTCCTCCATTTTTCAGCTACTTTTTTTTCGTAGATCTTCTCAGAAAGATCATAGTGGAAAGAAATTTTACTGATGTTGATCAATGTTCGTTTGGAATGCGCACTCGGACCGGCTTTCATAAGGTCGCGGTGGCGTNGGCGCGGAAAAGCTGGCACGTTGGTTCAAACTCATTAGCGTGACGAAATTGCGACCGTCAAGACTGTTCGAGTACTCAGACAGATACTGATGCACGGAAAGCAAGCCACAGAAAGTTTGTCTTCCACTTGATGCTTTTTTCATAGATTTACCATGGGGAATCGAGTCCCTGGGTGCTAATCAATCCCGTCTGAGAGATGCGCTTCCCACCTCCTCCTCCTTCTCTATTCGACTTCAATTCAGAATCGAAGTGGCTATTGAATATGTGCGTGTGGCCGATAAATGACTTGTGGTAGCCGATGTATAAGTCAGTGTATTCAGTGTATGCTCCCAGACGAGTCTGTTACCAATTAATTGAACCCGGAGGGATGGAAGTCTTGTGATTGGTCTAGGCGGACATAAATCCCGATTTCGAACCCGTGACCATGCGCGTGGGATGATGCGCCACTTGCCACTACACCACACCCTCCATTTATCGTATGTTCTTAGATCATCTCAGAATGTTGAAATGAAAAGAATGAAGCTGATAACATGTTCGACTTGAGTAACTACCGTAATTATTTTCATGACTAATTGCGCAGAAATGTAATCCACTCTCAAAATTTCTACTGGAAAACAGAAGCGTTAAACATTAAACATCGGAGGTAGACCCAGATAAAAGACATATGTTTTGCTTTCCTGACACAATGCTCCTGCGGTCGATCGGGTTAGGAGTGCGAGTTCGAAAAAATGTAAAGTAACGAAAGAAGTCGGTACCGGGGATCATTGTTCTCTGAAGTTTTGGACCACT